CACACCTTCTGGCAATGCCTATGAGGCTCAGGGGACGTCCCCAGAGAACCCCAGGTCAGTGCTTGGCCACCTCTTTGGCTTGCTATGTCTGTGGCCAGAGTCATGCTCTGAAGATGGGTCAGAGCCACCTCGGGTCTCTTGCACCAGCAGGTGCCTGGATGTGGTGAGGTCAGACCCTAGTCCCACTCCCCGAGGAGACAACAGGAGAACAGACGAGGAACTGAAATCCTGTCAGACAATGTGACTTGGAGTCCAGAACTGTCCTTCCTGCTTGTGGCAACCGCAGAGCTCCAGGACTCTGCTCAGATGTCATTCAGGAACTGCCCCAGGCTGGACCCGTGGCCGACGGCAGAGTCAGACCTGGCTGTCCCTTCCTGTGTCCCCAGAGCTGCGCGGGGAGGACGCCTGGGCATCTGCTGCTGGTTTTGTGTGTTTTTCGGGGAAACCAGCGTGGACAGTGTTAAGCCATTTCAAAGCCAAGTGGATATAATTTCCATAACTATCTGTTTCTAATTTAAGCCTATTTAAAATTTGAGGGCCCCTCTCTTGCTAATTTATTATGGCAATATTAATTAACGGTTTTGCATTACAGTGGTTAGGACGCCACTCCTATTGAGTGAGAGAGATTAGCAGGAGTACGAGATCAGAAAAACCATCTGTAAAGTGGCTAGGGGCAGCTGGGGGTCACCTTGGGGTTTGGGAGAAGGATGGCGCGTTTGTGCAAACATGCTATTAGCATCCTACAGCACAGCTGTGGAGAAGGCAGCAATAGTCCCCCCGGCCTCATTCTGCAGCTAATTCTGGGGGCAGATTCCATGAAATGGGGCTGTGCACTCGAGCTCTGATCCAAACTCGCTGTTCAAGTTTCCTTTCTGTTGTGTCATAAATTCCCATGGTTTCTCCTCTCCTCAGTGTAGTGACACATGCAGGAGCAGAGCTGGGCTGCGTCACTTTCCCGCAAGGATCCCTGGAGGGCGCGGTCCCAGCAAAGCCCCCACATGAACAGGCGGAAGTTGCTCCCTCTCTTACTCTATGGGAAAGACAAATCTTTGAGACACGTCAAAACAAAACATAACAAAGGGGATCATTGAGTGTGAAAGAGAAGCTCACGTAATCAGTCACCGTGCTTGTTTTCACCCGAGGGGCTGTTTCCTGAGACCATGCCGTCATTACCCACTCTCCTTGTAAGGCCTGCTCCTGTCCACCATGGGAGGCGATGGGAGAGACGCCCTTCTGATGGGATCTAGTGCTTTTATGAATTCAACTCTTTTCATGCTAGGGGTGGGAAGTGAAGGCCGAAGAGAGAGAGAGATTTTGTGATTTTATCTTTTTTTATGATAATGCTTCCAGGGAATGAGCATTTAGAAATCATCCTTGACCTCTGATGGGGTTGGGTCCCGATAAACCTATTGTAAATGGAAAATATCCTTAAGTCAAAAATGCATTTAATACCCCTAAGCTTGACCGTCCCAGCGTAGGCTCGCCGACCTGAAAGGTGCTCAGAACACTTACATCAGCCCATGGTTGGGACAAATCCTCTCCCACGAAGCCTACTTGATAACCTGGTGTTGACGGTCTCACGCAGTGTATCGAATACGGCGCTCACCGTGAAGAGCAGACGGTGGGTATGGGTGCGGGACTGTTGTCTGTGGATCCGCTGTTACTTCCGTGATCGCGGGGCTGATGGGGAGCCGCTCATGGGGCAGGATCATCCCACTGGCCGCTAGCCCGGGACAAGACCCAAACTCAAAACTCAGAGAATGGCTTCTACTGAATGAGTATCGCTTTTGCACCATCGTAAACCTTAGACGTTGTCGAGTTGAACTACCTTAAGTTGGGGACCATCTGTAGATCCTGACATGGTCTTGTTATCACGAGTATCTTGTAAGCTAGAGGAGTCCTGCCCTGAGAAGGTGTACCAAGTGCAGCCCAGGAAAATGGGCCAGCTACCTCCTGGTCTGTGTCGATGATCCTTATCAACTGATATTTGCAGATGCACAGCCTGCACACTTGTGAGTGTTACAGACCCCCCCCTCAGGTCTGTACCTGATAATAAAGTCTTGGTCTCAGCCTTCTGGATAAGAGACCCAAAGCCGGATCTCGGGAAAGTGAAGGAACGAAACTAGCCCAGTTCTGAGAAACACCCCCGATAAAGGAATTGGTGAAAATCAGATCGTAGAGAAATCAATACCTACGATTTTAATTGTCACTGAGCATATTGTTCTTTAGAACTTCCTCCTTCAAACTAGAAGTGGAAGCAAGTGCGTGCAATTTGCCTTCCCTGGTGGGGAGTGACATTCAGCCTGGAGGAGTTGATGTCCCGCACCTCCAGCAAAGTTGATACTTGGGTGACCAGCACAGCGCAGGGGCCACTCCGGACAGGCTCCCTGCAGGTCTTCAGCTGCAGGTGCTGGGGAGGTTGTGCTCACCCAGACTCGTCTTCAGGACAGAGTGAGCATCCGGTGCGCCCTGCCAGGCCCGCGTGGTCCTGCTCTCCAGGCTGAACGGTGCAGGTGAGCTGACCACCTGTGTGGAAGTCAGAACTGCGGGGGTCCCGCTCCATGCCCCAGCACCCCACCAAAGTGGGGCCCACAGCGGTGTTAAATACGCACCCCACATGGCTCTGTGTGCCGTCACGTCTGAATCTTTCCTTCAGTGTGTATCACTTACAGAGGGAGCTTCCAGCCGAGAGCACTCTGGGTTTGTTCACGGCAGGTGGAGCCTTTGGTGAAAGCCTTAGAGATGCTGCTTCTGTGGCCCACCACACTCTTGGTTTGTCACCCGCTCGCTAAGGCCACCCTGCGTGGGGTGGACCCGGAGTCAGGGCCGGGAGCGCTGGAATGCTCAGTCCGGCAGCGAGCAGGACAGCCGTCCTCCTCAGTGGGCCCCGGCCTTTTCTGGGCGCCTGGCCGCTCTCCTGGTGCAGGTGCTAACAGCACAGTGAGGGGACCCCAGGACCATGGGGCGGCGGGTGTTGGGCAGAGCAGGAAAGCACAGCAGGACTTACAGGGTTTCTTGGGATCTGTCTTTGAATTAAAGATCAGCCCCCGGATCCAGACCACGTCCAAGACAGGGATTCACATTCAGTCAAGCCCCTGATGGCGCCAGGTCCTGGGTCCCCTGGCCCGCTTAACCCCACCGAGCCCGGGGTGCAGGGGCGAGGCGAGCAGGCAATGAGCCTCCAGGATGGCAGTGCCTTGGGTGTGTTGGATGGCCCCAGCCCTCACGCTGATCCCCGCCCTCCATCATCCAGTCGGGGTGGTTGGCGGACTGTCAGAGACAAATCATTCAGCGGCCGTGGCTCTGAGTGGTGTCCTACGCCCTGGGGTCGAACGGCTGTTACAGAGCTGTGGTGCTGCCTGGTCCCTCCGTCCCAGGGCTCAGGGTTGACAGCATGAAAGGGAAAGGCGTCATGGCCAGAGCTCCCTGACACCCTCCAACCTTCATCGGGGCGGGGAGAAAGGCCCGGCTGGTGGCGGCCTGCTGCGGGCTGGGGCGAGGGGCCTCTTCGGGGAAGGCTCACCCTGCCACGGGGAGCACAGTGGCTTCCTCGGGCGCCGTTGGCAGGTTTAAGCCACAGACACCCGAGACACAGGGGCGGGAAGGAACAAAGGCGGACGTGAAACAGAACAGGGGTGTGGGAGGAGAGAGCGGGGCTATGGCCTCCCTTTCGGAGGTGCCCAGGGACGGGCTCGGGTGCCGAGCTGCTCGGCAAACGGCTAGATGGTGGGTCCCTTGAGGGCGGGTTGAAAGGCAAGGCAGGCGGCGATGCGGTCTAGATGCCTCCAACCCGCTCTGTAAAATGCTCAACAAACGTTCCAAACGAAAGGAAGGAATCGGGGGCAGAGGCCGCAGAGAAACGGGGATTCCTGTTCAGTGGTCTCCCCCCGTCCCCGACCCTGCAGTGGGGGCGGATCCCTGCCGGCTTTGCGGCCGCCATGCTGAGGAGCGAATGAAGGAAGGAAGGAACAAGTGAACGAGTGAGTGAAGGAAGGAACGAGTGAATGCCTGCCCGGGTCGCGGCTCCGCTCCAGGCTCTGTCCTGCTGTCTTTGCTTGGATGGCTATGCGGCGCTGGTGCTCTGCGGGGACGCACAGCCACGCGGGGCTCACTCTGACCCGCCCGTGACACACTTCTGTCCTCGGTCGATGCCGAAGCGCACAAGGACGCTGGATCCGACCTGGAAGCGGCGCCCACAGATGGTTCTCAGAACGGCGAGACAAAGGGTGATGTGCACACGTGAGCACTTACAGGACTTGGAAGGATGTTTCAAAATGGCATCAGGATAGTTCCCGACACACGGACGGCGCTGCACAGTCTTCCCCGAACCCTTGTGAGAAGCAGACCCATTGTCGCGATCGGAGTGGCCGTGACGTGGCCGTGCCGCCGGCTTCCAGCACCCCCTCCCTCCCTGAGCCCTCTGCTTCACACCGGCCTAGGCCTCGGACCCCCGCCTCCGTCTGGCCCGGCCGGGGCGCCCAGGCGGCCGCGTGCGCTCCTGCCTGCAGTTGGCACCACCGGGATGAGAGAAGACACAGTCGCGGGGCTCTCAGCGGACCCCCAGCTGCAGACGCCCCCAGACCACCCCCCGGCACACACCTCACGCATGCTGCTCTCCGCCCGGCGGCCCGGTCACTGACGGGTCTGGGGAAGAAGCCGGGCTCCCTGCTGCTAGGCCTCTCTCTGTGGACCGGGGGCCCCGCTCCTGCTCTCGCGGAGGGGATCGCCGTCGCGAGGGCCAGCTCTGCTAACGCGGGGTGTGGACACTCTCTCCTACACCCACACGACTCTCCACACGCCTGAAAAATGCTCCTAATGAGGAGGCTGGGAAAGGGGGCCTTTGGAGGGCGCCGAGCAGAGCCTGGCTTTCCCGGGACGGGGTCGGGGGCCCTGTGAGCCTGCAGTGCTGGGAGCACAGGGGCCTGCCTGGTGCCCGCCACCACCCCCGTCCTCCGAGCTTCTGAAGAATACCACCTGCCCCAGCTACCTGCGCATCTCACCTGGGGCAAGAGGTGACTCTTACTCCTGCTGGGGATGTGGCCGGGCAGCCGGATGTTGAAGAGAGCCTGGAGGGCAGCCTGAGCCGCCTGGCCCTTGGCCAGCTTCTTGCTGCGTCCCGAGCCTTCGAACGTCCTGCCGTCCACGCACACGGCCATGACGAAGCTCTTGGCGCGCTGCTTCTCGGCCGGCTCTGCGAGGCACACGTAGCGCAGGCCGGAGCGCAGCTGGTTCAGCACGACCACGGGGTTCCTGTCACCCAGGGCCACGGGGCCCGGCCTGGGTCTGTCCGGCCGCGCCGGGCCCACCAGGTCCAGGGGGTGGCAGAGCAGTCGTCCCCTCCGGCAGGCGGAGGGCAACAGCCCGGCGTCAGCAGGGCGGTGGCCCGCGAAGGCCTCGCCGGGGGCGGCCGGCTCGAACTCCTTGAACAGCGTGTCGGGGAAGTCGGCCTGGTCCGAGGTGAAGTCCGTGGACGGGCCGGCGCCGCTGCCCATGGCCAGGTGGGCCTGGCAGGCATTGGGGAACTGCACGAAGGACCTCAGGGCCAGCTCGGCTGCCCGCATCTTGGCTTTCTTCTTGGTGGGCCCCGTGCCCTCGAACGTGAGCCCGTTCACCTCCACGGCCACGGCGAAGATGGGGGCGTGCACCGGGCCGGTCTGGGACACCATGCGGTACTGCAGGCCCGGACGCAGGTCGTGGAGCTGTACCAGCGCGTTCTTGGGCGCCACGGACCACGAGAGCTTCTTCCAGATGAGCTGCACCTTGCATAAGTGGCCGCCGTTGCCCTCCTCCAGGGGCCTCTTCCTCTTCACGCCGGGCGCACCACCTCGGGCCCCGTCACCGGCGGGCAGGGGCCGGGCCTCCAGGTTGCTCACGTTGCGGTTTTCCTTCACGTCGGCGCTGCTGATACCTGCAGGTGAGAAAGACAGCCGTGACCCCGGGCACTGGCAGCTGACGACGGCACCGCTGGGCCGCAGACCGGGCCTTGGCGCACGCGAGCCCGCCACCAGCACGGCCCGCCAGCCAGGGAGGCAAGCTCCGGGCGGGCACCTGTGGGGAGACCTGGGGAGCAGCACCCCAGAAGTGGGGCCGCTTGCCCGGAGGCGGGAGGACCCGCATTCCTGGGCAGCTCTTGCAGAGACGCATTTCTGAGACGGAGGTGTTGGGGGGCGTGTGTGGGGTGCATGGCCCCCTGCGTGTTGCTGCTGTCTCCTGCCCTGGGCACCGGCTGTGGTGGGTCAGGGCTGAGGCCAGCCGCCTGCCCTGGGCCTGGGCAACCCTCAGCATTGCCCCAACCAAACGGACAGGAGGCCCTGTGCCCCCAACAGCTGTGGGCAACGCTGAGGTCAGGGAGGCCTTTCCCGCCGGGGCCGGTGGGGGGTGAACGGTGGTGTCCTCATAAAACAGACTGCTATGTGGCACTATGTTTAACGAGCCACATCTGTGTGTGTCAACGTGGATGAACCTCAGGAATGTGCTAGACGATGAAAATAATACGTAGACAAGGATATTGCTAGTTCAAATTATACGGACACAGACATTACAGATTGTTGGTGTAATCACACGCAGGTGGTAAAGATTCGAGGTGTTCCTACTTCCCCCAAGACACAAGGAGGAAATTGCATGCGGGCTCAGAGGGCCGCTTCCTTGGTGTCTGTGATGGCTCCTTCCGTCCTTCCTTTCTTCCTTCCTTCCTTCCTTGGCAAGAAATGATACGAAGTAAATTTAGCAAAACCATCCTTTGCTAACTGTAGGTGGAGGATGCATGTAATGATAATTTAACTTCTGTGGCCTGGCCATCTTGGACTGCTCGTGGCTGATGATGCTGTTTTTAGGCAATCTCAGGCGTGGATGACTTGGGGACCATGGGAGTCCCGATTGCTCTGCAGGTGAATGTGCTTCTGGGGCGCTGACCCCTCAGGTCTCTGCTGAAATCCTCTGAGGGTGTCAGTGGTGAGCGGTGCAGGTGCCTTTCACGGAGGCTCCCTCAGACCTTCTTATTCCTAAAATCCAGCCTGTGTGGGGATCACAGCACCATGTTCGAGAAGAAACAAGACTCAAAGAGGGAACCGGTTGATCCGGGCTCATTGGTTGAGATGGGAGTGTCCCGGGAATGTTCGCGGCTGCTGTGAACCTGGCTTTACAGAAGCAGAATAGTCCCATCATTTTCTTGGCTCCTTTACAGGGACACCCTGTGCTGGGCTCTGGGAGGCGGTGAGGATGCTGAGCACAGTCGGCCCTTGGTTCGGACAGACGTGGGAGGCGAGGCGGCCACCCAGGGCCAGGCGGGGCCCATGCAGAAGTCCCCGGCAGTCGGGAGTGAGTTTGTTCTCGTTAAGCACGTGGAAGCTTGGGGCTGATCCCGTGGCTCCTGAACAGCTGTCGCGTGGGCGCCCCTCAGTCCTGTGCGGAAGCCGGGCAGCGGTGAATGCGGCAGACTCCGTGACCTTGCCCTCGTGGTGTTGCGGCAGAGAATCTAACGGAGATGTGCAGCGTGTCAGCGCGGAGAGGTGCCCTCTCTGGGGGATGCGCCCTAGGGGACGTGTTCTCCGATTGAGGAACCCCAGCCGCTCACCGCGAGCCCGTTGGCTCAGTTGGCATTTCCTCCAGCAGTTTGCTTCCATACAGTGTTAGGTTTGCGGAGGTAACTGTTCAAAGGCATGATGCAGAGGGTTTTATAAGTTAAAGGTGGATGGCATTCATTTACAGACTATTTTAGCAGAAATAATTACCTTCCAAATATCAAGCACTTAGTCTCTGCCTCCTTTGTTAATGATTATGCGTCTTGGGCACAGGTAGCAAGGAGCTCTGCCGGGGTGGGGGGGGAATTTCAGGCCGAGAGACAGTGGGTCAGATTAACCATGCAGCCTCTCAAATTGAATGTGAAGATGAGAAAAAAAATCCAACCCAGCCAAAAAGCCCCATTCTAGGTTGCGTTCAAAACTGCTGGGTGTGCTCCAATTTCTTACTGATTTCCCACAGGGTGGGCATTGGTGAGACTGGTAGCAAGAGTGAGGTGGCCAGCATCTCGGATGACCTTTTGAGGTAGAAAGGGTTGTCTTGGAGGAAGAGCCCTTGCAGGCCGACCCCTCTCTTCCCTGACTCCCAGCGCCCACGGCTGCCCTCGATACCATTGTCTGTGACACCAGCCATGGTTATCAGACTGTGGCATGAAGGCCCCTTCCATAATAACCAACAATGAATAATAATTGATGAAAAAAGTGGGCTTCTGGGCCCTATCCCGGATACACGAGCCACAACCTCTGGTTTTGGAAACTCGCAGAGTGGGGGTTCGGCTGGCGTGCTCTGTTTAACTGGCCTGTGGGGTCCGAGCGTGGCCAGCCGAAGCTGTAGGAGGCAGACAGGGCAGTGGTCACCCCACCAGCTCGGGGCTCCAGCACACAAGACGTCAATGTCCCCCCTGCCTCTCAGGTGCGTGTGACCAGGGGCAAGTCCCTCCATGTGCCCAAACTCTACTTTCTCAAAATGGCAAATGTGGGTTTTAACGGCACTTGCCCTATGAGATTATTCCGAGCTTGAACTAAAGGAGCGTCAGGAAGAGGCTCAGCCCAAACCCAGACATACAGGAAACACATCTTTTTGAAAATAGCAGGAACGAGAGAGGCAGACACTGCTGAGCTCTTCCTTGCTGAGTTTCCCCTGGAATTTGGGACCCCCCAGGAGGCAGGGTAGCAGCGTCTGTCCTGTCACATGGCGCGGGCTCCAGGCTGTCCTGAGGCCGGGTCTGAGCGCACCCCTCTGTCATGAGCCTGTGGGCCCCAGAGTGCAACACAAACACACCGTGCGTCTCTCCCTTTCAGTCAGCGTCAGAGCTTCTGAGAGTCAACGGCCATCCCATGGGAGAGACGCGCACGGTGACTCCCGGTCCCCAGGGGACGGACGGCGAGGGGACGGATGGCGAGGGGATGGGAGGCTGCCTCGCGGAGTGACCCCACCCACGCCGCAGCTCCAGCGCTGCTTAGAGATACATGGGCCGTGTCTGGAAAACCACGCGCCACTTTGCCAGGTCCGCCGTGAAAACCCAACACCAGTTTGCGGGACTTTCGCTGCAGCGATCCCATGTGAATTTCTTATGGGACTCCAGCTCCAACTTCACAAAGTCACATTTCCTTCTTCCCCAGGGAAGGGGGTCCTTCGCAGTCCCTTTCCCTGACCACTTTGTTCTCCACTATTTAATAGGCTTCCGTTCTCTGTTGTCAGAATGATCCAGAGGTGAGAGTCAGGAGGCCACGCTGCCCAGGACCTGCGCCGCACATGCTCCCTTGGGTCTGGGCCCTGAGGCATCCAAGCACATGGGGCTCCTTTCCCAGCACAGGCTTCGGCTCCTGGGCCCTGTGGGTCACCCCTGAGGTGGGAGGGGGACGCAGATTGTCCTCGTCCAAGGAGAGCAGGGCCTGGTCTGCCCTGGGGGAGTCACCCCTCAGGCACGTTGCTGATCTTGAACCCTTTATCCCGTACATGGAGGCAGCCGGATGTGGACAGCAGGCTCCCAGCATCTGGGAGTTGTCCGGGAGCTCACCTCCGGTGCTGACCCCGCAGCCGTGCACTTCTCGCTGGCCTTCTCAGGGGGCCATCCCCAGGCCTCACGGGCGGCGTGAGCACCAGCTCATCTGGGAACCGCAGGAAAGCACGCTGACGGCTGAGTGGTGCGCACAGAACCCGCCACACGGGGGCTGCTGTGCGGCTCAGGGCAGACAACCCGTGAAACTTTCCACGTGATCTGTAACGGTGATCCGTGAGCACCACAGGCTTCCAGGCCGTGTGCTTCGTGATGACTGATCACGGCCACCGTGGAGGTGATGGTTGCCCCTGCCTTGAAGGTTCTGAGAGAAGATCAGTGGCCCCCACCTGCCTGGACTTGCCCTGGGTCCTGGGGTGCAGGACTTGGCACGAGAATGTTTATTACATGATAAAAATGACTTGTTTCTGAAAATGTATTTGTTGTACATTTGGAACAGCTCAAACGGACGGGTCATACTAGGTTATGAGAATTAGTGAGTCCTTTAATTCTACCCTGGAATTCGTTCTCCCAAATAATTGCTTTGCTTGCCAGTCATAACTCAGGGACTTGCAGTCAGTCAGGCTTGGAGCAGCTCTGCCAGAAACTCACGTCCCCGTAGGGGGTCGGACGGGGGACTCTCTCGTCAGGTCAGTTGCACCTTGAGGTGCATTTACGGGTCTGCCTGTCCCCCCCACTTTTTCTGTGTCTGCGTGTGTGGGTGCACTCAGCGCGCGGACGTCAGCCTGCAGGCGAATGGTAGGCAGCAGAACCAGGGCTGATTGATCTGGGGGCCCAGCGGCTCCCACCACCCCAGGGAGCCCCCATCCACGGCTCACGTCATGTTGGAGAATTTCTGACTTGGATTCCAGTGCCTTCCTTGGCAAAGCCCAGTCCCGAGGAAAACACGTGCAGGTGTCCTGAGCGTCCACGCCGGCCCAGGGTGAATTCCCTCATCCTCACAGCGTCGAACACCAGACACCCTCAGACTGCGGCTTCTGTGACTCAGACAGTCGCACATGTCCTTCGTTGCGGAAATTAGAGAAAAAGCAGGCAGATGACTTCAAGCTCCATTAGATAGATACCACAGACTGGTGGCCAGCAATTTGGAGACCACCAGGCACGGAGGAGAGTATCTACGGCAGAGCCACGTGCGGGAGAACATAGAGCAACTGTTCCATTCTGCTCTCTCACACATCGATCCGTCTCTGGAGCCCGTGACTGTGTTCTCCTGTTTGGCAAAAAGTGTCAGCAAAAGCAGTGCTACGTTTAGAGGTCCAATGCATGAAAGAATTGCATTTTAGGGAGAAAGAGCTGGATTTTGGGGCGCCTGGGTGGCTCAGTTGGTTGGGCGACTGCCTTCGGCTCAGGTCATGATCCTGGAGTCCCGGGATCGAGTCCCGCATCGGGCTCCCTGCTCGGCAGGGAGTCTGCTTCTCCCTCTGACCCTCCTCCCTCTCATGCTCTCTGTCTCTCATTCTCTCTCTCTCTCTAATAAATAAAATCTAGGAAAAAAAAAAAGAAAGAGCTGGATTTTACATTGGTGTGGCTGTGGCTAAAATTTTACTTTCCAGGTGAAATATATCCTCCCAGACTTAAGTCCAGTTAGCAGGCTGCACTTGTGCATTGGCGGCCATCCTGCAAACGTGGGCGGGCCACATGGAGGGTGAGGTCCTGTGGTCTCAGGGCCGTCCGGCTCTGGCGAGCGCGGGCAGCATGTGCGAGCCCGTGTATCACGTGTGTGCCTCACCCACCTCCGCCGTCCCCTTTCTGGGGCCAGCGTCTGTCTGGTTATTAGGCAGCCAGACTTCTCCAACTAGTCACGTCTGCGCCGCATGGCCGACAGTGACGCAGCCGTGGCCTCAGGTGGTAGGGCACCGGGGACCGGCCATCTGATCTGCCCCATTTGCATCAGACGGGGGCTGACAGGACCAAGGCCAGTGGCCTGGAGTCTCCTTTCACTCTGGAGGGAGGCCCTGGTGCTTGGCAGGTGAGCAGTCCCCTGGGAAGGGGGTCCGCTGAGGCACAACCACACCCTGGGAACACCGAGAGGCCACGTGGGCCGGCTGACTCGGGCTGCAGAAGTGCAGGCCTGACTCTCGGCAGCAGGCAAAGGTGCCTCCTTTCGAGGACGTGTCCCACATGGTCCTGGATGTGGTGTCTGACCCATGTCTGGGTGAGGATCAAGCGGGTGTGGTGGGCAGGTCTCCCTCCCTCCAGACCGCAGCTCGGGGAGTGACCCCTCCTTGGGTGACCTGGGTCAGCAGTAGGCACAGCGGTGATCGCGCTGGGGCAGTGACTCACTCCCTCTCAGCGTTTAAGGAGAAAACTTTCAGAGCTGCCCACTTGGGCAGAAGTCTCAACAACCTGGCGCTGTCCAGGAGACCCTGGAAACCCACCCCATTGATGGCTGGCTTCCAGACGGGCTCCCAAGCTGAGTCTCTGGTCACTGACCCCTGACACCAGCTCTGCCCTTGGCATTGGGAGCTCAGGCTCCAGGGACGAGTGGCGGTGAGTGCCGGTGGCCACGGGGGAGCCCGCTGATGGTCCAGAATATGCTCCACAAGGGGTGGGCAGAGCACCTCCGTGTAGCACCAGCCCAAACACACCCGAGTCAAAGCCACACTCGCTCCTGCCAGCCCACCCTTCCCCCCTGCACAGGTGTGTGCACACGTACACCAGACGTCACACCTGGCACACACGCCCTGCTCACCCGCTCTCCTCTCCCACCTTCCGAGGGTGCTTGGATTGCTAATGGCCGAGACCGTGTGGGCAGACTAGGAGAAGCTGAAGACGGGGCATTGATGGGAGGTTTGTCTTTGAACAGTGTTTGAAAACAGGGTTTTCTAAGTAAGGATTTTCCAAGCATTGCAAAGGCTTTCTAACATGTAACAATTCAAAGTCGTTCTTCTCTGTAGGTTTCCACCGATTGGGGGAAATAGCCAACTTGTGCGTTTGCTCTCTTCCAGGTCCTTGGTAGCCGTCTTCACGCATTGTCCTGTTGGATTCCGATCTCAACTGTGGGATTCAGTTTATGCACACGAGGCGCTGGGGCTCCTGGCTCGGGCTTGCGGGAGCAGTGGCGGCGAGGTCTCACCCCACACTGGGCACCTACCATGCTCAGCAGGGTGCCAGCCCCTCAAGGGGGGAAAGAGGAGGAAGCAGAGGAAGATTTTCTTTCTCAACGTGTTTATTCCAGGTGTTTTATCAAAGCGCTTTGCGTGCACATCCAGTTCAGCTTGGGGCACGTGTGCGTGCGTGCTTAGAATTGGTTGATGTGTATATGTACACACGCGTGTGTGTGTATTCCACATTTCTGAAGTGGCTATCAATAGGACCCCCACCGGGTCCTGGAGGTTTTCCCGCTTAGACCCTGAGACAACAAAAACGAGCATTTGCCCAACTTCTCTGAGGAGGGAGCCCCGAACGGGTGGCCCAGAGACCCACGTTCTGATTTCTGTGGGGACTTTGTCCCCATCCCGCGCGGGGGTCTGCTCTGGTTCTGAGGCACCATGACTCTGTGACTTTGATTTGTGCAGTGACGCGGGCTCGTGCCCTCAGCCTCCAGTCCTGCTGCTGGCCGTGCGTCTTACTAGCCGATGGCAGGGTGGCCAGCACTCCAGTGCGGGTCCCCCCACCACGTGCCCTGGTCAGGGTCCTGGTGAGCTCCCGCAAGCTCCCCGCTCTGGGCAACGGGCACAGTCAGCACCATCTCACTGGGCGGAAGGTGACCCAGCTGTGAGGTAATACTGAAATGCAGGAAAGATCTGTGTGATTTGGGGGTTGAGAGCATGCTGGACACGTCCAGGAACCCCCCACACCAGCCCTGCCCCCCAGGGGGCCCCTCACTGGTCTGAGCAGGGGGACCAGCATTTCCATCCCCGCACCACACTGCTTTGGGGCTTCCCCGGTTTCCTTCAGGAGCCAGAAATGTTCCAACAGGCAGGCACCCATCCAACTCCGTCCTTGTTAAATAGTTGTACAAACTGTGTTCATTTTCCTCCGTTCCTCCCCCCTCCCTCCCCCTGCCTCCCTTCCTCCCTCCCTCCCTTCCTTCCTTCCTTTTGAAGGGAAAAACAAAGGAAAGAGAGGAGAGGGGTTCAAGAAAACTGATTTTTCCCTACAATCTTTGGAGTTCTCAATTACAGAGTTGCTGCTAATATTTTCCTACTATCCAGATGGGGATGGGATTCCAGGTGGGGACGGGGTTCCAGGTAGGATAGGATTCTAGGTGAGGATGGTATTTCATGGCAGGGAAGGGATCCCTGGTGGGGACGGGATTCATGTTGGGGATGGGGTTCTGGGGGTGGAGGGACAGGAGCAGAGCCTCCTGCTCGGTGAAGCCCAAATAGTCCCCACCATCACCCCAAGGGTCTCAGTGTTTGGGGACAGTAGAGGACCCCCCCTGTGCATGGGGCCGGGACCCCCTCCACTCGACAGGGAAGGGAAACTGCTTACTTAGATTGTCTTCGTCCTCCGTGTTTGTGGCCCCGGGGCTTAAGTGCTTGAAGGGAGCGATGAAAGCTGACAACATGCTTACTTTGTCTGGAAAGAAAAGAAGAACAGGAAATGCACTTTTGACACCGAGTTTCAGAAAAACTCAATGCTTTCCTATGTTCTTATTACTGAGGGTTTGGACAAGGGAGTTTGAAAGCTTGTTTTGGTTTCAGCCACTTCATTCTGGTTCAGTCTTTTATTGAATTTCTGACAGCATTTTTATCAAACTCCTCTCTCCATTCAATTTTCAACTTTATGATTTCCATCTTTCTTCTTTTCTCATTTTTGGCATCTCCCCTCCTCTTGTTCTGTGTCCCTCAAAACTCAAAGCGATCGTCTCCAGGGCAAGAACCTTGCGTGAGCTCATAGGATGCTGGGTGGGGCAGAGCCTGGGACCCAGGGCATTTCACAGAGAAGAAGTGAAGCAAGTAAAAAAAAAAAAAAGCCATAATTAAATGAGAATTGTGCAGATAAAGCCAAGACCGTTTCTCCCTGTGAGCGGAGAACTTGCTTTGTGGGCTTGAACAAGGATGTAGAAATCAGTCAGCGGGCAGCTGGCAGTGGGAGAAGCGGCGGCGCACGAGGCGGGAAGGGGTGCGGGGGGGAGGCCCCCTCCGTCCCTCCTGCAAATGGGCGCGCAACGAAGCAGGGACAGGAGCCCGGGAGAGTGCCCTCCGCTTACCCCGCTGCGGGGGAGTGAGGCAACACCTGTCCCGAGTCAGCCCGGGGTGGGCCACTGGACCCAGGGCAATGCCGCTCATGACCTACAGTCCCCGCAATCTCTCTCTTAAACGGAAAGATTGGGGAATTGTGGGATGGGAATGCACTTGGGAGACATTGAAAAAGGACTAATAAAGGGGCCAAAGGAAAAGCTCCTTTCTGTAGAGATTCCACCGACTGAATCCAACCTCAGAAGCTGGGAGCACTTGTCCAAAGAGGAACCTATTCCAGGGCAGAGGAGAGCACGTCCAGGGACGGCACATGCAGCCCTCCCCGTTCTCGGATGCCCGCCTGTCCCCGTACGGTTCCTGGTGGTTCTCGTGGCTGGCCTGGCCCGCGGGGGCTGAGCTACTTTGCCACGGGACACTCACTGCCTCCAGGAATCCGTTGGCACCGGAGGGCCGAGTCTTTGGTGGCTCCCATGCCATCGTCTGCTTCTGTCCTCGGGAAGGGGGACTGCTGACTCGTGGGGCTCCCTCTTTGTACACATCTAAGTGTGACTTTGCATGAAAACCTCAGCTAGTGGTTTTATCTGCAGTTAGCCTTCAGGCGTTCAGACCCAGGCCTGAAATGTGCTCTTTTTCTTTCAATTCTGAGCCTGTTTTCTCTTTACCCAAGCTTTCCAGAGGCCAGGGGAGTTCACATTGAAATTCATTCAGGAGCCTGTTAACAGCTGTTGTTTCCAGTAGGGACGGGCAATGATATAATGTTCACTCAGAGAGAACAATAAATAACTCAAATATAAAATGCCTCTCTTTCTTCATTCTACGGAACGAGAAGAATAAGCCAGGGAGGGACTGGCTCTCCCAAACCCTCACAACCCAAGCTAATTTACTACAAGGGAATGAAATCTCTTGCTTGAGTTATAATTTCATTAAGGGTGCCCAATAATGTTACACAAGGAATGTGAAGCTCAAATGATTTAGTCTGGAGCATCTCAAAATGAAATTACATTTTTCTAATAAAGCAGGGCTACCAGCCAAACACCCACAAAAATACACCAAACCATTTCAGAGCTCACCTTAGCAAGACTGCAAAATATTTAAAGATTGTTTTAGATCCTCAAAGTTCTTGCTTTCTGGGGTTGCCAGATTTATCAAATAAAAACACCAGACACTGAGTTAGATAAACAGCAGATACTTATTTAGTATATATAAATCTCCAGCATTGTGTGGGGCACGCCTATACTGAAAAATTGTCCAGTCTATCTGAAATCCAGACTTAAGGCAAAGGACTTGAATAGATGTTTCGCGAGGGAAGGCATACAGACAGCCAGCAGACACACTCACCAGCAGGGCAGCGCAGATCAAAGCCGCACTGGGCCACCACCTCATACCCATCGAATGGCCGCCATAAAGAAGCCAACTAGGCAGTGGGTTGGTGAGGTTGTGCAGGGGTCGGCGTCCTTGTGCACCGACGGAGGGAGCGTGAAACCAGCATGTCCACGTCTGGGTCTACACCCAAAAGCATCGAAAGCAGGGTCTCACAGAGATACCTGCACACCTGGGTTCACAGAAGCTAAAAGCAACCCGAGTGTCCACTGACAGATGAATGGACAACACAGTGTAGCGTATGCACACCATGGAATATTACCCAACATGGATGGACCCTGGGGCCATGATGCAGAGTGGAATAAGCCGGTCACTAGAGGACAAATATAGTGGGATCCACTTATCTGAGGTCCCCAGAGGAGTTAAATCCATAGACAGAGAAAATGCAATGATGGGATCCAGGGGCTGGGGGATGAGGGGCCAGAGTTTCAGTTCGAGAAAATAAGAAGGTTCTGGATGGTGGTGAAGGTTGCACAACAATCTAGTATAGTTGATGCGACTGTACTATATGCTTACAAATGGTCAGTATGGCAAATTTTACCTTCTGTATGTTTCACCACGATTTAATAAGTCATATTGAACGGGACGCTCAGGATTTTATCTGAACCCTACCTCTTTTATGCCCTAGCAGCTCCTTCAGCATAGTGGAGTTTGGATTTCCAGCTCAAACACACCAACCCGCTCAGAGCAGGACATCTAGGGAGCTGCCTGCCTGTTTCCTGGGCGAGCCCACCCGGCTCTCTTGTTGTTCGCCCACCGTCACTGCCCCTGTACGAAGAGGAGGCAGGCTGCAGCCTTAGCACGTCGTTAGGAAGGACTGCGAGGATTGCATTTTTGGTTTGGAAAAACTGCAACACAAATGATTGGCTGTCAGCGGCTTGTTGGCGGCTGTCCATCTGAGCACCCAGCTCGCGCTGTCCTCTGGTTCACCACAGTCCCGAGACTGGGCTCGTGCAGGTTCCTGATGGGAAATGGAGGCTGTGCTTCTACTCTACTCAATTCTGGACGTTTGGGGTATGCCGAGAGAAGCTGGCTCACGGAATTCCCCGCGCTCCCGGCTGCCCTCCACCCCCGTTGTCAAGTCTGGAGGAAGGAGAAGGTGTTTCTGTAGGGGAAGTATCTGGAAGGGGTGCTGGGCACACACTGCACCAGCTGGAAACGGACCCCAGAGAGAGCAGGGGTCCTGGACTGGCCATGGTGCTGGGTGCGCCCGGGGCTGCCCTGGATCCAGCCAAAAGTCACTTCCAGGGAAGGCCTGGTGGTCACCAGCATAGCACAGCATTCCTAATGCACCTCCTGAAGTGATCCAGGACATTTGCATCAGAAACCTCACTGCTCTTTGCAAAATAAATGGCCAGGGCCCCGTGGGAGTAATTTTGTGTATTTCCAGAGCATGTGGGAAGCACTTTCAGAGGGCAGAAGCTCTTCCCTGGAACCATGTGAGATCACATTCATTGAGGATATTGATAACCAAGAACAAACACAATTTGGGAGTGGCCTAAAGACAGATAAATAGGCCTGAGCGAAAAGGAGCATTTGGGAATAGAATCATACCCATATGATCAATCGATTTTCTTTTCTTTTTTTTTTTTATTCTTATGTTAATCCCCATACATTACATCACTAGTTTTAGATGTAGTGTTCCATGATTCATCGCTTGTGCACAACACCCCGTGCTCCATGATCAATCGATTTTCAATGAAGATCTCAAAGTAATACGATGGGGCGAAAGAAAAGTCTTATTGGGAAATAGTGTTGAAAGAACTCTACACTGGCTTGGGAAAAGTGAATTCTGAGCTCTACCTCATACCATACCTGAAAATTGTCACAAAATGGGTCATAAACCCAAACGTAAGAGCTGTAACGATAAAACTTGTGGAAGAAAATACGAAGATTTTCATAATGCTCATGGAGGCAGATTTCTTAGGATATAGAAGGCACTCATTGTAAAGAAATTAGTTTTCATCAAAATTAAAAATTTCAGCTCACTGAAATACACTGTTAAGAAAACAAAATGCAAGCCGCAGATTGGGATAATAGATTTATGATCAAGACAACTGATTTGTCTCCAGAATATAAGAACTCTGCCAACTTAATAATAAAAGGGAAAAAATCCAAATTTTAAAAAATGGGCAAAATACGTGAACAGAAACTCGACAAGGGAGAATATGCAGAAGCCAATAATAAGCACACCCGAAGTGCTCCACAGCATCGCCCATTAGGGAAACACAAATTAAGATCACAAGCCTGTCAGGACACACCCATTGGAACAGCTAAAACTTTATCCATTACAGCTCAAAATTAGGAACATCCTGCATACCCATCAAAAGAAGAATAGTTACGTGAATTGTGCTACATTTGTAGGATGGGAAACTATCAGCAATGAAGACAATTGAATATTAAAATATTAAAACATTAAAATATATTACAATATGGATGAATCTTGAAAACATTATGCTGAGCAAAAAAAAAAAAAAAAAAATCTAGACACAAAAAAGAAGGTGCTAAGTAATTCCATTTATATGAAGTTCCCCAACAGGCAAACTGCTCTCTGGGGAGAGAAGTCGGGAGGGGGGCCTCCTGGGTCAGTTGCCGGCTGCGGGCAGGCCCAGGGGGGTTCTTTCTGGAATGATGTGTTACATGTGTGTACCTGTTTGTCACGGGCCATAGCACGTGCAGGATATGTTTCTCCATATGTAAATTACACTTAGTCATTTAAAAATATTAACGGATAAAAAGCGTGACTGGATGAGAAAATAAACGATGTGAAGCAAGCATCAAAGTATTGTTTCATATGAAAGGAAAAATGCAGGATGGCCGATGGTGAAGACAGGTGTCTACTAGCGAGCAGAGACGGTATGCAGTCTGGCCCGTGCACGCGCGCAGGCCTTGTGGCTTTGTTTTTGCTTATTCTATAAATTGGAAAGCTCAAATATCTCTCAGAAGCTCTGCTGTGGCAACAAGTACAGTCACTACCTCAAAGGGGAAGACCTTTGG